GACAGATGAAGGGAAAGTGAAAAACTGAAGTAAGCTGGGAGGAGAAAAGAGAGGAAGGAAGAAGAAGAAGCATATGAATACCTAACATAAACCCTTACAGAACCTCAGGGAATGGGAGCTGGCTCGCAAATCTAAACGACAACCTTAACCAAACTGTCCCAAAACCACCTGAGATGGCAACCCATCATTACAGGATCTAAACCCCCCCAAAATCATGCCCTTGAGGGTTAGTTAATGGGACTCGAATGAACGGCCTGGAATGACCCATAACTACTTTCTACAACACCCCCTCCCCCCTCCCCCAAAGAGGAGAAAACCTGTACACCCCAATCTGGCACGACAAGAGTGGGATTGCCTCGGTGGAACCCTAGGGCCCTGTCTCTCTGGTAGCACGCACAAGCTTTTCCCCTGAGTTCAAATCCCAGTCTCTACTGGTCTGTCTGTCTGTCTGTCTGTCTGTCTGTCTGTCTATCTCTCTCTCATGCTACATTCCTCAGCTCACCTCCCCTAGCTGTAATCGGGAACACGGCAGTCAGTGCCGATCGACACTACAAGGGATAACTCGGCAGTCGAACCTGCTCTAGCGGCCACCTGTCCAAGACAATCAGCCGTGTAAACGGACACTGTCCAAGCCATCTGCTTTTCTAAGACATCACTTTTCACCTCAGCAATGGGTGGCCATAAACAGAGATGGGAAGCATGAATGCCACGCTATTTATCATGATGATTTCAAAAAAACAAGTTAATGACACCAATTACAGAGCTACGATTTTTTTTTAAAGGTATGACTTCACTACAATTCCAGCCCGCATAATCTTTATATTAAAACTACATTAAGCGAGACCAGATGGCTAATTTTCTCCTCGACAATAGCTGGCTTTCTTCGACATCATTAGATATACACATCCCTTATTTCAATAATATGAACCTTTTTGTAATGTTACTACATCAAATGCTTATGAAAGACAAATCCCCGTTTTCGGTTTTGGTTCTAAGAGAACAAAACTTGATCCGTCTCTGCCGAGTGCTACCAAAGAAACAGGCCCGCGGTGGGTGTCGTGGGTGGTTGGTGGGTGGGTGGATGATGGTGTAGTAGCTAGAGGGCTTGTGCCTGGCTCTTGCAAAGCCTCACCTCTCCCTAGCATTATTGGCCTGTCGTCGCAACCTCTCTCGCTCCGCCTTGGCCGCAGGGGACAGATCCTCATCCTCACTGTTTCTGGGAGCACCACACCGACCGCGCGGAGGGGAGGGAGGGAGGGAGGAGAGGAGAGGAGAGGAGGGAGGAGAGGAGGGAGGAGAGGAGAGAGGAGAGAGGGAAGAAAGGAAGGAAGGACATCATAGTAG